CGGAAAGTTGTGAAAATTTTACATCCGCCAGACACTGTGGTCGCTCCTGATCTCCGACTCCCATCGTGTCAGGGACTACGAGCGGCGAAGGAACCCGAACTTTCGACTTTATGCTCGTTCACACCGCCCATTCCGACGCCGGAGAGGAGCAGGGGGGAAGAGTCTGCAGGCGAGGGTGTAACAGGTGGCACATTCCCTCTCGCTTTCGCTCCACGCTCGACGACGTGCGATTTCACGCGGCACCGTCATTATTGACGCTCCCTCCGACGACGAAGGGAACGTTCCAGCCAACCCCTTCCGTCTTTCACCGACCCACCCGTTCCTGCCGCTCTTAAAATCCTCTCCAGAGGAATTCTCGTTCGTGCTCCCGATCGAGGTCGTGTGGCTCGCCCCCGCGATTCCTCCCGCAATAAAGCTTCCCATGGCCGCGTGCATCGACCGGAATAGAAATTGCATTTTCCTCGGTGGCAAGCCTCGAAGAAAATTCACGGGCTCGAAACGTCGTTAACGGATCGAAAATGCCACGGCCCCCGATGTTCCATTGTAATACGTGGCTTGCCGGAATGTCTGCTCGATCGCCGGATGCAGCAGCGGCTGGCAAATTACCGTCACTTTTCCGTTCACGAAATTTCCCGATCGTCCGTGCCGATGATACGAGAATGATCGAACTACGATTCCGAACGACGCGAAATGAACGCGGGTCTAACGACGCCGGTCGTACGGACGGTCGAACGAAGACGAAGACGTCGAATGGAACGGGGCGACCGGAACTTTGCAAACGCTACTGGCCGGGCATAGAATTTGTCTCTGATTAAAAGTTATCTACTCTATTAAAAGTTCCTCCGGCTGATTAAAAGTTATATCCGAGAGACAGAAAATGTTATTTCGTACGGGACGACGCGACGTTCCGTGTCTTCTGATTTTACGCGATTCGCCTGGCCGTGGGTGACCGGAAATGTTCAGCCGGAGATAAACGAGAGATCCGATCCTCGTGAAATTTCGAAATTCGAGGGTAGACGTATGAAAAGCTTGGCTCGGATCGAATTAAAACGGACGAGGGATATATGTAACGCGGAGGTGTACGCGACTCGGTTAGATCTGCGGGATACGAGTCACCCTAACGGAAGTTGGCGAAAGCATGAATGAAAAGTACGTCTTTAAAAGGTGAACAAGCCTGGAACGAAGAGTCAAAGGAGGGTAGAACGGTGTATGAAAGGGAGCAGGGGGCGAAGCTTTGAAAGCAAGGGTGTGGAGGCGAGATTCCGCTCGGACACCTTCGCCGGCTCGTAGTCAATTAGTATTCCGCGGCTGGCTGTGGCCTGCGGAGGACGAGAATCGGCGGTTCTTCTACCAGGCAACGCCAGACGTTGAAAACAGCCTGGGAACATAATTCCATGGCGTCCGCTGTTTACCAGAAACGCCAGACGCTGAAATATTCATGAAACAAACTGCCGTCGGATCGTCTCACCTTTTCTCTCGTCCCCGCTAGCGCCACGCTCTGTCTCTCTTTCTCTCTCTTTCTCTCGATGGTCCCTATTGTCTACCCTGTGTTACACGCGCTCATTTTCCTCATCTTTCTTCGTTTAGACGGACACTCGTACGCCACCTCGTCGAGGGGAACGCTTCGCGGCGACCACGACGATCGCTAACTTTAGAAAAGATGTCAGAGCTCGCGTCTCACGCCCGACGAGGATTCTCTTTCGTTCATGGTTCACGCAGACGTTATCAATGGACCACGATGTGACCAACACTCGCGCTGCTTCGTTCCATCGTCGTTTCGGGATAAATTACCTTTCACCGAAGATCCGGTTTAATTTCTCCGAACGTTGAATTTTTCAAAAAGGTTTCGATTCCTTTCGACGATTTCGCGTTGTCGATGTTGTCGAGTTTGGCGGGAGAATAGGTGATTCGAATTCGATGCCGATCGCGTGGTCCAGTCGTTACAAGGAAGTATAACGTCATTTAAAATATATTCGTCTCACCCCTTCGCGACGTCATTCGACTCACACATTGATCACTCGGCGAGAAAACGGTTCACGTGACTAATTCCGTGTACTTTGTTAGAAAATGTCGATGCTGTATCGCTCGTGGCGCACTATTCGTTGATCTACCTGACTCTGATCATAGGGAAAATTTTCGTACGGGCTTGAGGGAAGTAGTATAGAAAGGAGCATTGTCTTTCGTTATTACGTTAGCACATCTCGTTCTCCAATCACAACGCATCGTCTTTCGGCATTTATACCAGTGTATTTACAAAATTACATATATATCGGATATCGCTGCAAATGAGTTTCACGTATTCCGTGTGTCTCCTCGTGTCTACTCGTAGGTGTACGTGTTCGTGTGTGTGTGTGTGTGTGTCCTTAAGCAATTAGACTTGATGCACGTGGCATCTTCTGCCACGTGGTCGCTATGTAGGAAACCTTCTAAACGTTACAATTTAAATTCTTTTTTTTCCTTCGTTTTTTCCGTTTTCTTTTTCTTTGCTTTTCTTAATAAATCTAAATCTACGTGGTAGGATCGCGTCCCTCGAGCGGGACTATACGTGTTCGTCGGCAGCGTTCTCGATTTTTGGCAATCTCTTCTCGTCCCTGGCACCGCTTCTAGACGCTATCAGTCTCGACCGACCGAAATCGCGGTGGAATCTTTCGTACAAAAATTGGCAGGAATTGGTTCTCGCTCTTCTGGCCGCGATTCACCGCACGTCCCCGCAATCTGCGGATCTATGCATCTGAATGGTGATAAATGTGGAGAAATTCTTGCGAGAGAAAGTCTCTGTTCTTCATACATCGCCTATTCAATCAGTCGCTTCGTTAGTTCGCTAACCCCCGACGCTTCTATCGACCAAACATTCCGCTCGAAAAACAAACGATTAAATCGATTTGCAAAATTTTAGAACGGCTGAAAATTCTCTTTCTTCTGCTTGTCAACGAATGAATCTGAAACGTAAATATCCCTATAACAAAATGTACTCATCTCTCTCTTAATTCCTTAAAGAATTTACAATTCTTCCAAAAAAGGAAAAAAAGAAAAGCTAAGCTTTTACTTTATTCGCCGACGTTCGGGAGAACAAGTATTTCTATGATTAAAGATCGCGCAGAAATTGTAAACTACCCTTCGCTATGGACTCTTTAGGGAGCAAATCCTTTCCTTTGTCATACGACTTTCTCTCCCAGACAAAAAGGAACGGGTATATTGTCGCTCGAACGATACTCTGATCGTGTCAGGTCAATCCCATCGCGGTCAAAGCCTGCTGAAACGGTAACGAGAGCGCAAGAAACGTGCAACTCCGACGCGCCGCCACGATTCTCGACTAACCGTGCGATTCGCTCGATCAGCAGGCGGCCCCGCGTAATTAGCGCGTGCACTCGCTCAACGATTAGGCGGTCTATCCGGCCCGGTAATTAACGTTGGCATCGTTAGCGCGTTAGTCTCGTTTACCCTCCTCCCCTTTGCTGTACCAAATAGAGGGACTGAAAGGGGCACGTGTGTGCGTCCCTGTGTCCCCCTCTCTCCCTCGCTCTCACACTCTCGCTCTGTCTCTCGCGCGTTGTCTCTACGTATATGCCCGGTTAGACGAGCAGCGAGGGTGGTCCGGTTCGCGAGGATTAAAAATAATAAGCGGCACCGACCGGCGTGACCCTTTGCTGCTCGCCCAGCGGTCGTTTAAGTATTCCATTCCGCTCGAAAAAAAAAAAAAAAAAAAAAAAGAAGGACCACGAGAAAGGTGCGTGTTAATTAAAATTCTCCACGAAAAGGAACGTCGAGATAATCGTGTACGCGTCGCGACGCTTCTTCGTGGTACCACGACTCGAGTTCTCCGACTCGTTCTCGAGATACCGTAAATTGACGAATACAGGTTCGCGCGAGCTCGCTCTTCCCGCGATGCAACGCGTATTACCGTTTTCGGTAATCTCACGGTACCACGCGATCACGCGTGCCAGTCCAATTTCCCCGTTGTTTCATCGCCATCGCTCTTCC